TGTCGCGCAATGGTGGGATGTCGTATTCAGCATCGCCGCTTCACTCGCTCTCAGGAACGTCGAATTGACGATCCTTCGTAGCGTTCTGCTCTTGTTTGAGGGGTTCGTACACTCGGCTACAAACTATGGAGCGCCAACGAATCCTTCAGCACGTCCCCAGTCGATCCCGCAAAACGCTTGCGCTTGTCCTCGTCCGTCGTAACAGATCCAACATCAGTCGTCGACTTATCTTCCGTTCCTCCGACATCCTTGAAGTCCCGATTTGCACGCTTCGCTTCAGTCGACGTCTCTAGCGTGTGAGCGTACCAGTCCAGCCAATACTCTGGCGTTCCGAGATCACCAGATGAGACCTCCCGTTAATGTTCCAACACGTCTCCCGGTATTCCAAACTCGGCACTCATTTCTGCGAGTGTCGGCTTCCCTTGTTTATCCGCGTTCCGCTTGGCACGTACTACCTCTTCTTCGTTCATCGGGAGCAATTGTTCTTTCATTTCTTTCTCGTACTCTTCGGGCTCATACATCACTACCTGGTTGCCACCGTGCTCGAGCATGTCGAGCTCCTCGTCGGTAAGCATGCGTTCGTAGTGCTGCGTCGAATCCTTCCCCTTAGTACGTTCTTCGTCCTCCTCGGCCTTCTGAGCTTCTGTCCTTTCTTGACCTGTGCTCACTTGTCCAATGACTGCCGAGAACTGACTTGACCTGGCGCCAGACGCGTCCTCTGTGATCGTTTCGAGGGCCCCTTCGTACTGCTTTGAGCGGGTAGGCAGCGTCTCCACCTCCTCACTCTCTTGGCACTTCTTTTCGGCGTCCAACGTAGTCTCGGGGCGTTCCGTTGCTTCCTTACTGACGTCTTGCACCAACTTGGAACGTTCCGTTGTTCCGTTGTCCCAGTTCAGCTTCGCCGAGGAACGCTCCGCTGTTTCCTCAGCAACCACTCTCTCTCGTACTCTCAATAGAGCACTCTATCTCTTGACACTCGCTCTTGGCGTCCGAAGCAGTCGCGGGCGTTCCGTTGCTCCCTTACAGACGTCCTGTACCAACTCAGAACGTGCCCTCTTTTCGTTTTATCAGTTCAGCGTCGCACAGGAACGTTCCGTTGTTACCTCAGCGACCACTCCGTCTCGTGCGGACCTCTCCGTAGAGCCCTCAATCTGGTCGTTTCGTTCTAGCCCAGTCCGTTCCGTTGGACTGCTCTCTCTGCTCGTTCCACTTTTAATTTCCACAATTTCCGTCGTTACGCTCGTGACAAGAACGTTACATGCGCCTTCATCGCTCATTACACCTCTCCTGAGAGCCCTCTGAGGTCCACCCGCCAAGTCCTGTCGCGGTGAACCCTCATCTCGCTTCGTGTCGCCAACCAGGCAAGAGGAAGGAGCGATACTTTCTTACCCTTCCTCCTGTCCCCTTCATTGTTGGGACGTACCAGCGGGTGCAGTCACGTTCCCGGCGGCCATGCTCTGCATCATTCCCCGCAAAGTATCGAGGCTCGGGCATCTCGCCACCAGGTGACCCGCCTTACCGCATAGCAGACGCTCCACTTGGCGACGTTCTGCGTTCCGGCAATTCCCATGGGGTCTCGGCCAGTTGCACTCCATCGAGTACTGCCCAAGCTCGTTGCACCGATTGCAACGGCCTTGTCCCCGTGGACACGTCTCACGACCACATCCAGCACGATTACATCGTCCGCAAACCACTTCTTCTTCCGTGCTGCGTGTATCAGGCCCTAGTCGGATGCGAAGAGGTCCGAGCGGTGCACCAGCCACGTTCCCATTCAACGTTGGAACGCCAGTACTTGGAGCGTTCGTGGGAGCCACGGCGCCAATGAACCCTTGTGACGTGCCAGGATCCTGCTGCTTCTTCAGCATCAACTGGTTCATTTGTTAAAGCGGTTGGAGCATCTGCGATTGCGTGGACGTCACTGCGTCCACGTTCCTCAGCGTAGTTCAACAATTCGCAAACTCGTCCTCTTTTTCCACAGGGAGGTGCATACTCTTGTACATCAATAAAGCGCACACTTCCTGGATCGACGCGAATAAGTTCGCGTTCAAAACGGCCCGCATCTGCTTGTTCCTTAACCCATCGAGGAAGAACTCGTACTGCATACGAGGCTCGTAATAGTTTAGGTCGCACTTCGTGATGATCCTGTCGCCCCACCCTTCCGCGGATTCGCCATAGTTTCTCATAGCGGCCTTGAGTCGGCTCCACAACTGACCAGGCGTCTGAAAGATGAAGCAGTTATGAAATCTCACGCACAGAGTTTCTAAGTCGTTGATCCTCGCATTGTACAGCCATACCTGACCCAACTTGCCCTTCAGACACTGCTCGAAGGCTGTCAACCGCATTTAGTCGTCCATACTGAGCGTACACCTCTCGAAGGAACGCCAGAACGCGGCCGCCCTTTCGTACGTGGCCGTCTCTGAGTAGAACGGAACGACAACTTTCACAGCGTTCCGCAATTCCGTCGGGATACCAACAATCGGAACGTCCAGCGGAGCGCCTCTTCCTGACCCGTGCGAGCCATTGCGGACTCCTTGGTCGTAGTACGGACTCGTCACTTGCCCTTGCGGGGGTACTACGTTAGGTGCGTATCTTCCTCCCTGAGTATTCACGTTCCCTTCTTGTCCTAGCGCTCCTTCTCGTCTCTGGAACGTCGTACCATTCATAGGTGACGTTCTCTTGAGCGGTAATCCGTACGTTCCACTTCTGGGGCTGGCAGGCATCTGCCGTGCAGACGCTGCAGACCACGCGGATATCGATTCAGCAGTAGCCCACCCAGGTGTCGACGTCATTGGCTGTTGGGAGGGAGGGTAGAACGCACACCTTTGAGGCGTTCCACTACCTCCACCGTCCCACGTGGAACCAGCCATTGAAATTGACACGCCTCCATACGAAGGAATAGCAGCCATCGGCATTCGGCTTGGTGTCGAAACCGGCGTTGCGTCCTCATTCTCGGGGTCATAGATCCTTAGTACCCCATCATTGAAGACGTCACTGGTCGGGTCGGCGTCGGCACGGTACGTGGCACGTGTTCTGTAGCTTAAGGTCTTCAATGTTCCGTTCGTCACCCCAGCCCTTTGTAGCAATTGGGCGAGACCGTCCTTGATGAGAGTCTGTAAGGCTGGGTCCGTCGTCGGCATTCCACTTTCTCTCGTCGGCGCTCTCATCGATTGAGCAGGTGTCGCTCCTCGACTTCCACCAGGTACGTACGCTCGTTGGTGTCCCAGCAACAAGAGGTGCAGTCCCTGGGGCACGTCGGCTTCCTAGTTGGCCCGGTACGCTGTTGTTGGGTTGTCCGTACACTGACGTGACCATGGGCACGTCTCTTCTAGAGTCGTCCATCGGTTGCAAGGAGGGACGAGTCCGGTCCAAGGCGAACCCCACCTCGCGGCGACCTCCCGAGTCCATCACCGAAGCGTCCAAGTACCCGTCGTCGACCTTGCAGGCGTCTTTCCTTCGCTGGGCGCCGGTTGGCGTGCCCACTGCTCAAGAACTGTGTTAGACATCTGTTCACCCTGAGGCGTTCCAGACACAGACTCAACCGTCCTTCTCGTTCTCGGAGACGGAGACGCAACTTCGAACATGTCCTCTCCTTCCACGTGGACCGCTTGTGTCTCGTGCTCTCCCGTCTCGGGATCAGCTCGCTGCGGCGTACCACGTTCCTCGCCATCTTCCTGACGTTCCCTTCCTTGAGGTCTCTGCGGCGTGCCGCCGCCAGCAGCTCTCTCAGCGCGCGCTTCCTCTTCCTCCTCGAGGATCTCCACGGGCTCCGTTTCCAACGGAGGAGCCCCTCCCCCTCCCCCTTCACTGGCTCCAAGTCCTTCGCCGGACCATCCATGAGCACACATCCTTTTCCCACTTCTTTCTCCTTCTTCCTTGACGCTCCGTAGCCAAGACTTCTTCTCGCCCTTGTACTCCTACGATATTCGGCTAGAAGATACCCCGCTTCTCCACCAAATAGTCGCGGTCTTCCTCTAATAGGGGTCGTGAGTATCTTGGGCCGACGAAGGAGGTAGTAGTATTAGCGTCACTACTGGGATAGTAATGTAAAAGCTGATATATTCTTGTGTTGTTTGTTAGAAGGAAATCCATGACTGACCTCCTCATTTCACCTCGCTAAGCGTTTTAAAGCTTCTTACCTTTCAGCAGATCCCTCATGAGTGGCGGTCCAGCTCCAGTTCCCGCGACGACCAGCTGCTTCACGACCTCACACTTGGAACGTCACTGGCTAGGCCGCATGTCCCGCTTGTTTGGACGTGGTCCGGAGAGTCTGGGGCGAGTAGACCTTCTGCAGGCAGTTCGCCAGCATCATTAATCCACCATCTAACTGTACAAAGTGACACTGCCACTGATGGTAGTTCCACTAGCAGCTGTAGTCTAACACACACACAGTCACATTTAACATCGCACGTTTATGTCGACACAGCAGTATTTACACTAATGTCAAAATTGACAGTCAATTGTGCTTCATGACTGGGCTAACGAACGGCTTATCGAGTACGTGCGTGTATTTTTCCCAATTGAGTTGGTCTCAAACAGGCACAGTCCCTCAGAAATATTTGTTTTCTTATTCTGAGTAAACATTACCGTATTCCTTATGTGATTGGCGACGCTCGGTCATTAGCGACAAATCCAGCAGCCAATCAAATTGATTTAAATTTCGTGTCGTCGCGCTTTATGTGCTTGGCGACCAATATAATTTTGAGCATGTAAAATAGTTTTTCTATGCAGGTATCTTTTATGCTGGCAGAAAGGCTGGACCACCTCAAGAATTTGACTGTCGCCAATCACATAAGGAATACGGTACTATTATAAAAAAATTCGCTTCGACGAATTTTGTCGATTCATTGCAATGAAAAAAGCAAACCGTCAAAGTGCGTAAAATTGGAATCCTTCAAATTGATACCAAAGAAAAAAGGGTAGCAGAAAACAAAAAGCGATGTTTTTTACTGTTAGAAACAAGACTAAACGTTGAAGTTAGCTTTCTCCCAGCTCATCTACAGTTAAGGGTAGACGGACAAGGAGCCGATGATGCCGCACGTGCCGGAGCTGCTGGTGCCGCTGCCACGCTTGAGTCGCATGAAGCCATTCTCGCCCCACTGTGGGCACCACGAGCTCTTGATCTTGAAGAAGGACGGCGAGTAGCCCACAGCCAGCACCGCGTGGTCGAGCTGCGACGTCGAGCAGGACGACACGACGCCGCTCTTGTACTGCTTCCACGTCGGGTTGTCCGCCGCGACTCCCACAGCCACTGGTTGAGTTTCGATGGCTTGGACCAGTCCGGCGTCGCTCCGAGGAACGGCCACCACCTTACGGATGGTCACCTTTTGACGGGTACAAGTCGACTTGCACGTTTGATGATAGCCCAAGTCTCCCGACACATACGGGTAGGCTTCCTGAGTGCAGATGCCACCGGATTGTTTGGCGTAGTCCAGCGCAGTGCTAGGCCAGCCTCTGTCGCAAGCATACGAAACCTTGTCGCAATCAACCACTTGCTGCTCCGACAGGAGCGTCAGTGGCTGGCCGGAGAGACAAATGGCGCTCTCGAGAGCGGCCACGGATGCGAATGCCCAGCAGGAACCACAATCGCCTTGGTTCTTGACTGGAGCAACACATCCAGAAGTAGTCCAGTCTTTTTCAGTAGAGGCAGCAGTCAAGTTCAACGGCAATGCATCAGCGATCGAGGTGGCCTTAAGAGGTCCAGAGTCGCGCTGGTAGGACTCTCCGATGAACTTGGCGAACTCGTCGTGCGTCAGCAGCGTGAACGGTGTGTCAGTAGAGAAAACAGCCTCCGGGTTGGCTGCTTGAGCATCTTCCACCAGCAGCTTCGACAGGAAGAAACGACGCAGCTCCTCGTCCGTCGTAGCACTCACGTTTCTCGCAGACGCAGTGGGGACGAAGCCATGCTCCATGGCGTACAGCCCAGCGTCGCTTTGCTTCCACTCATTCAACTCTTCATGAAGGACGGCCTTCTCCTCCAGAAACTGCTCCATACGGTCCGTCGGGACAGCAGGAGCGGCGGCGTCTGCGGTGGCCACCAAGGCAGCAAGGGCGAGCAGAAGAGCGGTGTTCATCTCAACGTGTTGGGTCGAAGATGTTGCTAGAAAGGTGCAAATTTGAGAATGAACTCCAAGTCGCAGTCACCGGTTGCAATGCATTTTTGCACGCCGGACAACCAGCAGCGAGGTGTCTACATGTACCAGATCGACCGCTTCACGCTTCGATGACACACTTTTAATCCGATTTACTCAAACTTCAAGTTTGTCAAGTTCAATACATGTACCAAGATTCGTTGTCAAAGAACAACATTGTAGTCGTAGTTACCATGGTGGTACTGGCCGCTCCGTCTTGATTATTTCTGTTGTGCGATCACTTGTACGTCCAACTCGCAGAGGCAAGGGCAGGGTTCCCCAATATGCCATACTCAATATATTCTGCTGCTATTACGCCAAGACAATAATAATGGCATTATTCCCTAAGTTGACTACGCATACTCTGCCTGATAGCTTTAACACTAAATCCTTCCCATCAGTCCTTGCTGTACGATAGAAACATAAGCACTTCAAGAGTGTTAGGGTTCATGGATTGACTGAAGAAACGCTCGCACTCGTTCGACGTGGGTGGAACCCACTCGAGAGGAAAGTATTGCGGCGGGGAGCGCGTCACAGGGGCCTTCTTGAAGGCCGACGCGAGCAATGACTTGGAAACTGCTGGGTTTACCACTGTGTCGTCGCTGCTGCGCTTGAGATGAATACACGCCGCTTGTTCGCGTGCATTCAGCCGACCACCGCCAATGATCTTCACGATGCCGCTCTCCAGTGCGGGATTGTTGACGACGGAGGCGTCACTTTCAAGCCGGGTCTTCATGCTGGGGTACTTGCGCAACACTGCATCAAAAGCACGTCGTGCACCCACCACTGTTAGATTTGAGTCTTGTAGCGCCTTACTCACACCTCGTTCAGCTCGTGCAGCGACTTGAGAAGGGAACGAGCGGCTTCGGTTTCCTCTGGCGTCAGAAGAAAGCGCGCGATGTCATGCTTAGCCACCGTAGCGTGGTACAACGCGAGAAGAGCGCTACAAACTTGTCGTACTGCTGTACCATGCTGAAGGTACTCGACCAACGAGTCGCGTGGGGCATGACGGGCGCTAGAGAGGTCACCTTGCGAAGGGCATCACGACACTTGATGGTGCTCAGGTGTTTCATGAGCGCGTGTATCTTGGCCAACATGGGTTCATGATCAGCCAGATACGCGTTCAGATATCCTTGTTTGTGAAATTCATGAGGTACTTGGGCGAAAGGGGGCTGAAGAGTTGTTGGGATGACTGCAAAATGTCGAATGAGTTGAGTAGATTACACAAGGCTCGTAAAGTCTCTTTTGAGGTGGTGGCAACCAGTAGTTTTGGTGGACAGTATTGACCCTAGAATAACTGATAAAATGCTGAAAAATGCTTGCATTTTTACTCGCTCCCCAATACATTATTGCATTCCCAATATGCGATATTATTCAATATGATAATTTAAATCGCAGAGGCCTGGGAAAGGGTCACTGCTGCCAAATCCGAGTCCTGGGAGCATGCATGGGTACATGTATTAAGCCGAAGATGAAGATGATAGCTTGCGCAGCTCAAAGCCGTCCGTCCGTTAATACGATGATAGCGGTTATCGCTGCCAGCACTGAATGACAGTTGTGAATGTGTTGAATATGTCCGTGTATCGAGCGATTCCGTTTATGCAGTCTCGACAGTAGTAGCTCAGGACCAGATTGGTGGCTGGCTACATGTAGTCTGCACTTTACCCATTTTTGACACAAAAGATTTGTGAACAACTAAAGTCTACTGTTTTGCTACACTTATTTCGCGTCTCCCGACGTTCCCGCCTAACTGCACGTCCTTCGTGCATGTCAATTTGACGCTGTCAAAGACCTCCCGTATCGCCCTCATTAGTGGAGAAGATGCAGAACACATACCCGGACGACATTAAGTACATCATACTGGAATGGAAACGCATCTGGCATATCCTGTGCACAATTTGCCTTACCAGCCTGTGGATACAGCGCAACAGGGTCGTCTTTCAACAAGCCCAGGTGACAGAGGACACCAGTGCGACAGAATTTTGGGGGACGGCAATGCGTCAGTTGAGAGCGCTGGGGAAACGTGAATGTCGACAACCGGAGACTCAATTGCGAGGAACTCATTTACTTCTATGCATGCGGGTACTAGAACAAAAACCACGAGAGCACCCGAACCAGCGGGTGAGCCCCGTACAACCACCGGAGTCGCAAGAGGAACCGGCGTTGCTAACCAGGCTTAGGCAATACCAGACAGCTAGTCGTCGTTAAGACCAAATAGAATGTCTGCCTCTCTCAAACTGTCAAAGACCTAAAATGGTATGACTGACAAAGCCTATCTGCTACCGTTGCACCGAGTACTGTACCGTAAATATCGGCCCCAGTGCGACATCATTTTTTGGTTTAAAGTCAAGACAAATTTAAAACCTCGCTAAGGTTTTCAAATGACCCTTTTAATGAGGATGTGCCATCCATAAAAATGGGAACGTCGCACTGGACCCGTTTGTCGAACTGGGGCCAACTTTTACGGTACCCCGGCCACAGTGGCATTGGCGGGTGGCGGCCACCCGCCAATGATGAGGCATCGGCGGCCTATGCCTCATTATTCCACCTTTCTGGTACTTCTAGGTGGCAAGGCTCTCAACTAATAGCTGATAGCTATCCGATCTGAATGCACGATAAATGTACGTTTTGAGGTAGCTGGTTTGCGCCATTACACATCCTCCAACTTGGGCTTTCTGCTTCCATCCAGATACTTTGAACTAAGAGTTGCGTCGCTGAGGGCATTTTTTCTCTTCTTATCTCTTTTTACAACAACCCCCTTACACTGTATTTTCACTGTTTGCGTAATACAGTTATACTGTATTTTCCACAAACACTGTCAGTGTTTTTTTTAAACGTGGCAGGATTTTAACCTCAAAATTAACCCATTCGTGGTCAAACGCGGCAAAATGCCGATGATTTTCAAAAGAGGGTGGGAAAACGACCCTTTAAACGCGGCATTTTGCCGTGTTCTACAAAATCCACACCTTGTTTTGTTTTTGCCAATCAGATCTTCGGATTACGGCTTCTGATAGATCCTTTTGTGCCGACTGGCGAAACTGAGTTGTGAATATCGCGAGAGCGCGTATCTTTTCCGGCCAACATAGCGTCATGTTTGCGGTTCGGCTGGTGCCGCATGAAACGCAAGGGGAAAACGTGCTGTAAACAAGGCTAGCAGATCCTAAAACCTATCATTAAAAATTTGGTCGAGACTTCAGACCCAGAGCCACCAATCGTGCTGGTATCAACTATTGTATTTCTAGGTTAGATGCATGCCTTCTCTCTCAGTATGTTTTGCTATGCGGACCAACTTCACCGACGCACAAGCCAAACGAATTGTAGCGCTTGCATTCGAGTATGAATCCCAACACAAGCGAGTAGAGTGGAAGGAGGTGGCGTGGGCCATGAGGAGTAAACGTTCTGTCCAAGAGCTTGAGAACCGGCTGCGAGCTCTGAAGCGCACGTATAGACGTGATCTATCAAGATTTCCACCGTGTTTTTTCTCCACGTCGACGCCAACATTCTCTCACAAGCAGCATCTTCGTCTTCTGGAACCGAGCCAAGCCGAAGGAGCTATCCGCGATACCTTCAGTAATGTTTCGGCCGCGGACGTTTGTTAACAAGCTGGAAAGACGGACGAGAGCGCAGGGTGAGATGCTGCCTGTCGCTATGTCAAGCGTGTTTCAAATGATTGGAGCTGTGCATCAAGACGACGTCTTTTTTTGACATTGGTGCTGGCCTGGGGAATGTTGCGGCGCAGTTTCCGATTTAGACGATTGCACGCCAATGCTTGGGAATCGAGAAACGACCGGATGATTTTCCTCGAGGTGTTCATTGCTTGCGAGCGCATGCGCCAAGGCTGCTATTACTCCACTAAAAACACTTCAAGCTAAGGAGACGTTCTTGATACGCCACTTTCGTCGCGTTTACCATTTTAGAGTGCATGAATAGTTTTTCCAAACGATTTCCTGTTTGATGAATTAGCAAAGCTGGCCGTACAAGAGCAGCAGTATATGATGCCGAGAGTACGTTTGATCGTTTCTACATCTCGCTATGGTCCTCGCCATCGCGATTCCTGCCGAAGAAGATGTTGCCCCAAGTGGAGGCTCGCGAAAACCACGTATGGACGGGGTAGCTGGAAGTCTGCTTCAATCCCAATCTACATGTACACGACTGTCCAGTGACTGGCGATTATAGTGCGTTGATGCTGAGACGGTCATTGAGGCAAGTATCACGGGGACAAGGCAGGCAAGTGGCCGAAGACGAGAGAGGACGTGGTCATATTCACGCTGTCGGTCAAGTTCAACAAGGCACTGGACAACAAGGGCAAGGACATGTTCCTGTCGCACCTAGCCCAGCACGAGAAGAAGGTGTCTTATGGCAGCTCGTACGTGAAGCTGATTTTCGCGAGTGTGGGCAACGTGAATTATAAGCTGCCACCCGCGGGTGGACCACGCGTACACCAAGCGGATGACCGCGAACGTAGAACCCGCATACACCGGCAGCGAGTCGCCGTAGGTGGTCACGTTCGAGCTGGTCATCTGCGACAGCACCCAGCGCCTGCACTCGCTCGTGCTCAGGAAGGTCAGCACGCATGGGTTCAAGACCGACGGCAAGAGCGTCAATGAATGAGTGCTGGTCAAGCAAGGCCTACCGGAGAAGCAAGTCACGAACCTCAACCAGTTCGAGGCCAAGGATAGGGTGGGCGCCAACCACGTCCCAGGCCCGCAGGACAAGAAGCCCGAGGACTACGACGACACCCCAAGACCATCTCAGACCCACGCCACGACGATATCTTTGGGGAGCGAAATACCGCAGCAGTTGGCATAATACAGAGTATCTAGAGCAGAGATAACGGCGGCAATAGTTTGTTCAAGATATATTCATGTTTACTCAAAAAGATGTCATGCGACTCTAGGGATACAGAGTATCTAGTGCTGTGATTGCACTTCGCCGTCACTTCG